TATTGTATTCAACATTGCCTGTCTTAAGTCAGGATTAAGGAGGAGGGTTGCGTTAGGTAATCGACAGCCAGAGTAAAACTCTGTCGGGTCTACTATAATGAGTCCAAAAAATGATATATGCTATAATGCTAGATCGTTCCCCATAAGTGATGTGTTGCTCCTTCCTCGGGGCTTTTAGACAAATAAGTTAGGGGTGCCGATGTGCGGTGATAAATGGGCAAGGGTCTTCACACCATGGACGGGCGTGGGGGTAAGGAAGCAAGTCCACGATGATAAACTTAGATTAGCAACATGGAACATAGGTACATTCACCGGCAAAACAATGAAATTAGTAGACACCATGAGCAAAAGAAAAATTAGTATAGCATGCTTAACAAACTAAGTGGGTAGGTGAGAAGGCAAGGGAGATAGAAAATACAAGATTTAAGATCTACTATACAGGAAATGATAGACGAAGAAATGTAGTAGGAATAGTTGTAATAGGACACAATATGAGAGGAGTCATGGATATGGTGATCGAAATGAAGTTGGAGAGAGTATTTTAGAGTTTGCAATGGATTATGAATTTATAGTGGCAAACACCTTGTTTAGAAAATGAGGAGAACATCTAATAACCTTTGAGAGTGGACCAAACAAAAGCTAACATCTCAACATAGGCTAACAATCCTAGATTGATATATTAAAGGGCAACATAGAGTAAGGAGAAGCATTAGAAAATCAAGAACGAGATGGTGAAATCTAAAAGATGAGAAACTAGTACTATTTAGGAGTATAATGCTTAAAGAGGCCTTATGGAATCTAGAGGATGAGATTAATGTTATGTGGAGTAAGGTGACGGAAGATATTAGGAAAATTTCGAGATAGGTTTTTGGGGAGTCAAAGGATAAAGGACTTGTGGGAAAAGAAACTTGGTGGTGGAATGATGATGTACAAGAGGTAGTTAAAGCAAAGAAAGAATCCTTTAAGAGATGGAAAAATGATAGAAATAGAGAGAACTTCCAAAGATTTAAATTAGCTAACAAGGAGGTTAAAAAGACATTTAAAGATGCCAAGTTAAAAGCCTACGACGAGTTGTACAAAAAACTAGATAGTAAAGAGGGAGAAAAAGACATCTACAAATTAGTTAAAATTAGAGAAAGGAAAACAAGAGACTTTAACCAAGTTAAGTGCATCAAGGGCGATGACTCAAAGGTTTTAGTTAAAGATGAGGAAATAAATGATCGGTGGAAAGAATATTTTGAGAAACTATTAAACGAAAATCGCTTAGGAAACCTAGATGAGATAGAAAATGGTAGGACCCATGAGACTTTTTTTTGTAGAATAAAAAATTCGGAGGTAGAGTTTGCATTGAAGAAATTGAAATTAAGCAAGGCTTTAGGACTGCATGACATTCCAATCAATGTTTGGAAGTGCTTAGGGAATAAGGGGGTGTTGTGGTTAACAAAATTATTCAATAGAATAATTGCTACTAGGAAAATGCCCGATGAATGGAGAAAGAGTATTTTAGTACCTATCTATAAAAATAAAGGAGATATTCAAAATTGTAATAATTATAGAGGGATAAAATTGATGAGTCATACAATGAAATTATGGGAACTAGTCATTGAACGACGCCTAAGAATTGAGATTACAGTGTCAAAAAATCAGTATGGGTTTATGCCGGGTAGATCAACTATGAAGGCTATATGTTTATTGGGGACACTAGTAGAAAAGTATAGAGAGAAGAAGAAAAATCTTCATATGATATTTATAGATCTAGAAAAGGCGTATGATAAAATACTTAGGAATATAATATGGAGGGTGCTTGAGAGGAAAGGAGTGGTGAAGAGGTATATTGAGGAGACAAAGGACATGTATGACGGGGCTATGACTACAATTAGGTCTTCCATGGGAGAAAGTAAAGAATTTTCAATCACAGTGGGATTACACCAAGGATTGGCTCTATGTCCATACTTATTCTCCATAATTATGGATGAACTCACTAGGCACTTTCAAGATGATATCCCATGGTGTATGCTATTTGTAGATGATATTGTATTAGTAGATGAAAATCGAAGGGGGATTAACAATAAGTTAAAATTTTGGAGAGAGACACTCCAGTCGAAAAGGCTTAAAATAAGTAGGAGTAAGAGAGAATATATGCAACACAATTTTAGTAATAAAAGAAGTAGACATAGTGAAAAAGTTAAGATTGAAAATCAAGAAATATCAATGAGTAAACAATTTAGATATCTATGATCGATCATTAAAAATAGAGAGATTGGAGATGATGTAACTCATAGAATCAATGTCGGGTGACTTAAGTGGAGGAAAGTCTTCGGTATATTATGTGATAGGAGGATAATAATAAAATTGAAAGGTAATTTTTATCGAACAGTTATAAGAACAACAATGTTGTATGAGATAGAATGTTGGGCAGCTAGGAAACAACATAATGACAAAATGAGTGCAGCAAAAACGAGAATGCTAAGGTGGATGTTTGAAGAAATGAGAAAGGATAGAATAAGAAATGACCGTATTAGAGAAATGATAGGAGTAGCTCCAATTGAGGATAAGTGAAGAAAAAATAGATTAAGACATGGTCATGTTCGACGAAGACCGATAAAGGCAACGGTTCAAAAAAGTGAGATAATCTCTCTTAATGGTACTAGAAATAGGGGTAGACCTAAATTAACATTGAACAAAATAATAAGAAAACATATGAAAGTATTTAACTTAAATGAGTGTATAGTGCATGATCAAAATGAATCACGAAAACGGACTCATATAGCCGACCCTAAATAATTGGGACATAAGGCTTGGTTTGATTTGATTAAGTGGGGTGGTCCCTTTGTCATCATCATATGACCCCAAATTTGTTAGGATTTCGTTGAGATGATATTTTACCGTTAGAAACTACATTCCATAAGTATGACGTGATATTCTAAAACATGTTGAGGTGGCCTTGTGACCTATCTCGAAGCTTGGATATGTTGTGATCCTCCATATCTCTGGAAGAGCCTGTCGTGAGGTTGTTCTATTTTGGGATGATCTCTTTCTCTTTTAGCCAGCTTGTGGGTAAAGGAGCTTGGTCGAAACACCTATCTTATGCTAGAGATATGGATTCTCCTGGTCATGCAGTATAGTTGACCTAGGCATCTGCACTTGAGGTCGTTCTCAATCGATCTGGGTTCCTTTAACTCAACATATACCCCTTCTATTTACTTATGATGCCTTTTTTTGGTATCATCAATCGGCCCCTGGTCTTGAGATCAACCTGCCTAACTTGGGTGTAGCTTAGGACTGAGTTTTTAGTCATTTGAGGTACTGCTCTTCTTTATATCCAGACTAGGATGCTTAGGATGGTTGAAAATACATGACAGGATGGCTTCGCTAAGATCACAACATCGTGCAACATAGAAAATGCCTTGTAGTTCGAGTTATGCCAATTGGATCGTGCCATGTGGAGCACCCGTGTAGGCGTATTTAATTCATATATAGAGATAAAATCGCCAAAAAAATTTGTTTTTAAACCCCATTCAATTCGATTTCCCTCTTTACCAAAACTCTTCAACACCTAAACTCTTTCTTTCCCAAATATTTGATTTTTGGAGTGTTGGTGATTCATTTACTGTTCTTGTGAGGTTTGAGAGGAATCGATTCAAGGATTTGATTAGTCTTGGAGATTTTGGGTCTGGATTTTTTTCGATGCTTGTCTAGCTCAGATCTAAGTTCCTCGCCTTTGCTTTCCACTTTTGTCTTCTGGGTATATTTTCCTTCTTTCCTTTAACTTCCATGTATCAAGCTTGGACCACTTTTACCCTTAGTGGTGGTCTCAAGGACTACACTTCTTGGTTCTTCGTTTTCAATTCTTTAGGGGACTACATAGATCCTTAGAAACTATCCCTTATTTCTTAGATCCTTTGCCACAACTATGGTTTTTCTCCTTGGTCTTCAGTGTTTGGACCCTCATGCTATTGAGGATTGCTCTCGAGGAATATCCTTTTACTTTTATTTCAAGCTAGGTTATTTCATACCCTTAACTTTAGCAATGTATGGAAATTCTTCTAGAGCTATTGTCTCTTCTATCTCCCACATGTTTGGGGATGGAGGCGAGGATTCTGAAGTTAAATCTACTTCCCAAATGGAAATGGTAGACCTAGAAGGGGAAGACAATCCTCTACCCGTGGTTCTTCGAGCAAAGAGCTCAACTTAGCAGAGGCCTTCCCCTTTTCTCTTCACAAACACGCCAGAGGGGAGGGCTTCAGATCAGGTAAGAGAAAGGAGACCCCTAAAAAGAGGGCCACCAAACCTTCTTAGGCTTCTCCTTCAGGTTCTAAATCCTCCCGAGCTTCCGCCTCAGGCGAGGTCAACACCTCATACAGATCTAGATATTTGTTAGGGTCCTTTGTGCCTCTTTCCTAGAGCTATGTTAATGAGCGTAGGCTCTAGTCCTTGATTATATGCTACCAATTTCCTGCATGCGTTATAGCTTTTACCCCCTCGGATATAGATCACTATAATGTCTATCTGACTAGGAAGACCTACTTTTTTGTTTTGGCATTTGAGTCAGATGTTAGATTTCCATTACATCCTTTCCTAAAAAGTGTTCTATGCTATTTCAATATCTGTCCCTCGAGGAAGTCTCCTAAATTTTGGGAAACACTAGTTGGCCTTCTTATATTCTGGAGAGAGAAAATCTAGGCTGAGCTTCTTCCATGGCCAAACTCCTTCACTTCTTCAATGTCAAGTGCTCCCCGACAAATGGCTTCTTCTACATATCTAAACGTGTCAATGCCCATTCCATAGTCATAGGTGCACCTTCTTCTCATAAAAACTGGAAAGAACACTTCTTCTATGTTTCGGGTGATGCTTGGGAGAAGGATCCCAACGATAACTCTATGATCTTCGTGTCCCCTAGCTATGGGGGGAGCCTAGGAATTTGAGTGAGCATCTGTCTTCTAGCAAGTTTTTGGCATAACTTCCTTACTCTAATATTAACGGAAAAAATTCTTTGTTATATGGCAGAATGCCAACTTGAGTTGATTCCCACTAAAGAGCTCAAGGTCACAAGGATAGAGAAGCATGAAGTGAGGATTGTCAAGGAGCTCATTTCTCCTAAGAAGCTAGTGAAGCACGACTATGGGTCTTCCGTATCCAAAAAACTCCCAGTTCTTATCCAAGGACCTATTCCTTCTAAAGATGAAGACTTAATTTCCAGAGATCAGCAAAAACCTATTGGTATAAGCTTACCATTTGGCATGTTTTTCATTTAATTTTTGTTTCTTCTTGTACTTTCTTAACCTTTCCTTGTTTTATGCACATCTCGACAATATGGCACCTGAACTTAATGAGGTTCTTGAGGCCAAAGATAGGGGGCAAGAGAATAAGAGGCATTTGACCCAAGTTCAAAAAGGCCCCAAGGCTTGAGGGGAAAGACACTTTGGGGAAAGGGATTCCTGAACTTCCTAAGGGAGCTCAGTAACTAAAGGTTACTCTAACCCCTAAAGGAGGACTCCAAGTTGTTGATCCCTCCTTAGCGACTTCTAAGGAGCTTAGTCTCCTTTTTACCTTCCTCTGCCGACCTCTGAGGAAACCCTGAACCTTACACTGAAGTTGACCTCAACCCCTCCTATTGCAGAGGAGGGTTCTCTCCTTAGTAATACTTACTTGGCCACTACCAAGATGTACAGTATCTGGCCATGGTTTGACATCCATAATTTGGCTAGTATCTTGCCACAAGGCTACGAATGCTCTTCATGGTATAGTAGTGGTAAGAGTTCCATTTTCTTTTCCTTCAAGCTCTTGTCTATCCTCCCTTCATTTTTTGCCCTTTATTTGGCGTTTCATCTCTTGCAGACTATTGTCCACGCCATTGCCCTCCTTGGGAGAGTTCAAAGGTCTATGAAAGTTGTTGAAGAGCGTATGGTTGGGCTAGCCTATTCAAAGAAGAAGCCAAAGGAATAGGCCATTAACTAGGGGAATAGACCAAGAATCTGGGAGAGCAACACTACCAGATCAACTTGCTCAAGTCTTCAGAGAGGTCCTTGGAAAACAAGTTAGAGCAGAAGGAGATTGAACTTGGAAAGATTGTTGTAAAGGGTTGACCAAGAGGCTATCAAGCTTAAACAGGAGCTTGAGGGATTGAGGTCTACTATGAAAGACCAAGTATCAAATCATTAGACCTCAAGATTGAAAGTGCTAACAATTATGCAAACGGCTATGAAGACCTCAGAGAACAAGCCACTAAGAAGTATCCTAAGATGGATTTCGAGCCCTTTATTCCACCTCTGCCCTTAAGGTCAACCGATAAGGATGGAAGGGACAAGTTAAAGATGATCTAGAGAGGTAGACCTTTGGTGCTTTATTTTCTACTGAGCCACTTGCTGATCTTCCTTCTAATACTTTCATTGCTCCTGCTACACTTGAAGGGTCTGAGCATCAGAGTGAGGGGGTTGAATTAGCAAGTTGATGGGCCATCCTAAGAAGACTTCTCGTTCTTTCCATGTTCTGGGACTAGTAGTTCAGTTTTCTTCTTCTTCTCTCTCTTTTTTTTTAAAAAAAAAATTGTAACTCCTTTTTTTTTAACGGGAATTTTCATTCCTTCTCAACTGTTAATGCAAGAAGTATATATACATCCTTTCCCCCTTCACTTGCCGAAAGGTGAATGCCTTGTGGTATTGGTCTCCTTCAGGATTCTAACCACTAAGTTTAGCTTTGGGGGGCCCTTGGACTTGGTGGCTAGAATTTAGTTAGGCTTAGCATGGGCTGAAAAGCTTTATAAGCTAAAGAGCTTATCTCAAGCATGAGCTGAAGAGCTCACCTTTAGTATGAGCTAAAAACTTTCATAAGCTGAGAAGCTTATCATAAGTATGAGTTGAAGAGCTCGTATTTCACACGAGCACAATGAAGCTTATACCCGTATGAGCTAATTTGTGATAGTTACTGAAAAGATGTGATTTTGACAATTGGTACCTATTTATGCCATCGAACAATCATAGAGCTGAATAGGAGCCTAGGGATGTGGGTTGATTCATCTAGCCTAGGTGTCCCTTCACACTAGCCTCTATCTTGCAATCTATTTGTCTGAACAAGTTGCTTCTAAGTGATTTTCTTTCTTCTTTTCATCAACATGAATGTTCCACATTTTTCAGAGTTTAGAAGGCATGCTCTGTTTGTTTTGAAGGATCTGAGTTGGGCTGCCTTTATGGTTCCTAGTAGTATTTCTATGGTTGAGTCAGAGGCCAATAAAGAGCGGTAAAAGTTCCCTGTTGGTATCACTGTCCATGCCCCCACTAAACATCAACCCTGCAAATTGTTCTCATGGAGGAAGGTTTGTTTCTTTGAGTTTGCTTTCAAGGCTAAACTTAGGTGTATTTGATAAAACTAAAAATTGAATTCTGAAAACTGAAAGCTGAAAGCTGAATGCTGAATTTGTGGACTGTTTGTTTTCTACTGAAATTTAAGTACTGAATTGAACTAAGCTGAAGTCTGAAAATAAATTAATTTTCAGTTTTACCATTCCACTCTTTAATTTGAAAATATTTATAAAATGTCATATCTTAAATCATAATTACTATTATTATATTGTAGTCTACATTTAACAACTATTTGATCAAAATAAATAAATAAATAACATCTAAATAATACATTAAGTGAAAAATAACATCTGATAAAAAATAATAATAACTAATAAATAATCAAATAATATTGAAAAAATACAATAAATTAGATTTCATTAACAATATGTGTGTGCACCGAAAAGGTATGTGTGTGTGTGTGTGTGTGTGTGTGCAATGCGTGCATTTGTGTGCGTGTAATTATAATTGTGTATGTATATTTTTGTTACATAAGACAAGGGAAGAAAAAAGAAGAGATCGACAAGGAGAATAAATAAGTTAGGAGTTTTTGAGAGAAAACTAATTATAGTTTTAATAGCATTGTAAAATATTCCGGCGTATAATTGTTATATTGTAAATATTATTAAAGATGATTTTGTTGTGCACTTTCAGCTTTCAGAATTAAGTAAGAGATCTTCTATTTAATATTATAACCTATTTTTAAGTAACACCCAAGCTATACGTAACTCGGCCTCAGCTCCTATGGCCCTCTCGCAAGACACTCGCAGCTCTGACACTGCTTTAGTGTGGACAGTCTCCTTATCAGCCTCCAGCTTTGTGGCCCTCCAGCTTCACGACCCTTTTGCGGGATGCCAAAAGCTTGGCCTCAAGAGGTACGACTCTCTCATGAAATACCCTTAACTACTCCTTAATAGCCTCTCGAGCCTGCCTCTCTTTTGCCAGATCCCTAGATTTCTCTTCAAGCTTGATCGTCCTTGAAAAAAAAACAAAAAAAATAGCAGACACCTACAAGCATTCGAAAAGGAAAACATGAAAGAATGGACACAGGTGAAAAATCAAGGTTAAGTAGAAAGGTATGTCATGGGAAATCCCTCTATCGCGATATTGATAATGCCCTCTAGACCATGAGAGCCAACCTCTCTGATATCCTAGGGAGTCACAAATCTCCAAAGTCGCTCCTTGGCTAGATTTATATCCCGCAGCATGGACACTGAGCCACTACTAGAAGCCGGACGACTACGTGGAGCTCCAAACCTGGCAGATGGCCGCACAGGAGCATCAATCCCCGAAATAGTGGCTAGACTAACCCCAACACTCAAAGGAGCCGTGTGCTAAGAAAGAGTGGGAGCACCCTCTAATCCAGCCTCCTGGGATATAGCATGGCCATCGGATCGCCAGAGACACTGGGGGCATCAGCCTTCGCCCTCTTAAGAGGAGGGCAAGACGTCACCCTAGAAGCATAGAAAGCCTCCACCATCGCTCTATCAGTAGTGGGATCTCTAGAACTGGTATAAGATGAAGAATCTATAGTATTACAATCATCAAAGTCTATTGGACGGATCAACTACCCTTCCTCTTCTACCTAGGGGAGGCTCTAGGATGACCCATCGCGAACATGAAGGCCATAAACTCCTTGATAGGATGATCCCGCATAGCTTGTAACCTACTCTCCTGCTCCATAAATAACATGGGTGAAGTTGCAAAAGGAACCAAACATGCAGTGAATGTAAGGGACATAACAGTTAGACGTAAAAAAGGTAAAACCTTTACCTAGCTTGGCCTTCGAAGTAGTGTCCCACCTCGAAGGCACTAAATCACGATCTTCCTCAGCAGCCCACTCACCTCCAACAAAGAACCTAGATTTCCAACTATGGCAATTTGAAGGTAGTCCAATAATAAACTTGCCCAACTTCGAGGCAAAATGGTACCACCCTAGATGAGGAGTAGGATAGTCCAGAAGCACATATGAAGCCAATAACTCCTCACAAGGGAGAAAAATGTCATCACCATAGAACAATTTCCATAGTGAGAAGAACGTCAAAATTACCCTCCAACCGTTCGGAATCAGTCTCCCTGGAGTAAGTGACAAGTTGCCCAGAATCTGACAAACAGGCACAGGAATAGGAAATCTCAACCTAGCTCCAAGGACATCCTTGTAAAAGACAATTTCTCCAGGAGAGTCGAAGCATGCCGACTCATCCACCTTGGCCTGGCGGCATAGGATAGCAGGTGAAATATGAAATGACAACACAATGCAGGCAACATCATCATCATATTGCAAAAAGTCTTCATTAGCCTCGTTCAAACGTATTGCAAAAAGTCTTCATTTTAGCGTCATAGGTCTTCATAACCAGATCACTTTCTTTCCTTTGTCTCTCACATGTCAAATTAGCTTACCCTACCCTACAAATCATGACTTCATCCTTATACAAGCATCACACAATAAATGGCCTTAATTTTATCTCCTTAAATGGAAAACGTTAATTAACGAATCCAATGGATGTTTCAATGCTATTTTTAATGGTTTATCACACCCCCAACATGAATATTACTAGTCCCTAGTAATTAAAGATAAAACTTAAATCAATATATACAAAACCATATTCACAGGTGAAGTGATTGCATTTAGCTTATGCAATAATCCGTTAAACCACTAGGTTCTCCCCGATGGACGAGTTTTGTCTTGTGAAGGTTCTAAGTGAAGATACCTACAAATTTCAACTGTATGTCAACACTAATTTGGATGACCTATTAGATCCATGTTAACAATGAGATTATAATAATGTCTAACCATGAACTTGAATAAATCTCGACAAACTCATTTATAGGAATCCATACTAAACAAAGATATTTACATGTCATATTGTCATTTCAAACTCATGTGTGCGTGAGAATCATGTTACCTTCAAAATTCTATTAAACAACAACCTCCCTCTTTTAGCTATCCATGGCTTGCTTTGATGTCAAACCTCACCAAGGGTTAAAACTCAACAATAGAAGCACTCCAAGTTATAGTGACTTAAGTATTCACAATGCTCATATGTGAGGAGAATCATCCAAACAAAAGTATGACCCACATATGTTTAATCTCAAAGATGAATATTTGAATGAACGAATTTGACATAATCTCGTGAAAGATATTAGTTTAAAGCGAAAGCAAGAATATTAACATATCCATAAGTATTGGAAGAATTTGTACACAAACATTTCCCTTGATATCAAGTAGCACTTTTCTCTTGGTTGTAACTTGGACATACGCGAAGGGATTCAAAGGGTTCAAAAGAGGTTAACCCGAATTTTTCATATTCTTACGATACTTCTCTTTCTTTTTAGAGGAGTTTTGGCAACATACTATTTTGCATAACCCTCTTTTCTTTCATAGCCTTTGGCTTTTCAGACATTTTCAAGGATATTGATTTCCTTTTCTTTCTTTCTTTTTCTCCTTGTTTATCATATTATTTTCTTGCCACTTCCCATTTTTTGTTCTTTCATAGATAAATTCATGACATCAACATTGAGGTTAACCAAGGTAAGGAATAATATTCATATGCTTAGCTAGGTCATAAACATGGTTAAAAATGAAATTTCAATTTATGGCTCAATTGT